CGTATGGCGTGGTTCTAAATAGTCATCACTGTTAAAGGGCAATGGCAAGTGACGCATTTTACAAACGCATGGTCACGGGTTCAGATCCCGGATCGATATGCGCCTAGGCCAAGCAAGCCTTCCATCCTTCCGGGATCGGTTAATTGGTACCAGACTCGTCTGGGAGGATAAAGGCACTGACTTGTACATCGGTTGGCCACTGCAAGTCATTGCATAGCCACATACGCAATTACTACGCCAGTATGATTTCGAAAGGAAGTCGAATGGGTGGCGCATCCCTCTGACGAGATCGATTAACCCCCAAGACTTTATCCTTCATCCTTCCATCATTGGTAAAGTTGGACTGATAACTTTTATGGACAGTGCTTAATCTAATTTATAAGAACGTACTCTTCTACCGTAATTCATTGCTTTCAGTATTGTTAAATCGATCATGTGATTATTATCTTACTTTGAAGGCCTGATGTCTGAAGCATGAGATTGCATCTCGCTAACGAACTCTTTTTTTTTGAGATGGGCCCCTTTATTCGAAACTCGTCTTAAGTGCTTAATTCGGTATAGTTGCAGTAACATGACTGACTTTTTCGTGTGACTTTTTTCGTAAATAATTCATATTTATTTGAATATTTAGGAGGATTGTCGATGTTCCAGTGAGTTACGGAAGTACGTTTCCATTCCTCAACCGCAGATCATTCACTCTTCGACTCTCAAGTTGTGAGTTTTCAAAAATCACTAGACTTCTTGGCTTCCCGAATGATCTCATTCCGTTCAGATGCCTATCCACTTGAAGACGTCGTCTACTTATGGGCAAACTCCCCTCCACTCGTGAATCCTGTCGAAGTATGGCTTCTATTCAGAGCTTATCATTCATTTATTACTTTTAAAGACACAGTTGACGATAATTTTGAGGTATTCTCTTTCAGTCGTAAAGAGAAAGTATTGGTTGGGCGTAGTGCATCGGTGGTGAAGGAAGCGAGAAAATTCGCCGATTCGAAAAATGAGGCCCCTCAAGCGTAATGAATATAGGGGGTGTACGAGATTACCATGAGGGAAATGACATGGAAGGGGTTTTCGGACGAGATTTCAGCTGTTGCAATTGCGCAGAGAGCTCACTACATCGAGCCAAAACTTTCCAGAATTGCCTTTCGCTGTTTGAACTTCCTACGTGGGTTCCCTTGTGAATGGTGCAGTCTGTAAATACCGTTGTAACTCGTCCGCGCATGCACACAGGACATTCTTTTAGCCTTTATTACATTCACCAACCAGGCCGTTTTCTGACTCAAATGCGAAAGAAATGGTATACGAGGGGACTTCAAATTCATCCTATAGAGAAATCTCAGGAACCATTTTCATCCTAAACTGTGCCTTTAATCTAAACATGCAGCTCAAAAAGTCGGACTTTCCATCAAATCATTTGGATAACCTTACTCTTCATCTTGCCTATCGAAGATAGCGATTTTGCTTTCGATATATGCTGTAAATGCACCGCAATAAAGTAACCGTTAAGGTATCAAATGACTTGCTCACTGGGCCAGTGACTTTTGAAGAGGCGAGCGCTGGCGATTGCGTAGGAAACTTTACTGTCGGTAAGTTGCAAGTTACAAGTGGTGAGTTGCAAGTTTGGCTGTCATTTTTTTTTTGAAAAAGAACTGAGCATGGGGGTGAAAATGGCACAATCACACTAATGGTCTGGGGAGCAATACAGGCACAGATCATGCCAGGATGTCATCCTAACAGGGTCGCTCAATTGATACCAGACTCGTCTGGGAGGATTAAAGTACTTAGTTGTACACTGTGTGATCATCGCAAGCCAGTGCTTTGGCACACACATTCAAATCCACTATAGTTCTGAATGGAAGGGAAATGCAGAAGCTCGTCCCCAAAACGAGATTGATTGGCACCAAAAGACTCCATCCTTTTGAAAATCGGTTCGAAGGAGGTAATCTAGTCTTCGAATTGTCTCATCGCTCAGAGTCGAGGTTTCAGAGCTGATTAGGCTCTCCTCGAACTAGTCCTTAGGAAGTGCATGATATAATGACATCTGAAAAGTCGCCTCAGGTTACGACATTCAATAGAGGGGGAAAGAACTTTATAGAGCAACATGCAGAGTGCTGAATTCAGGCAATGGCCTTATAATGATCGTTCGAAAATGAGCACTCAGGATTACCTTAAATTGATAAATCTTATTCACTTCAACCCCTTTTGCTGTTTTTTTCACAAATTTTATCTTTATTTTTTTCACTACTGTTTATTTTTTTATTTTTTTCACATTTTATTTTGAAGTCCATATCTCTCTTCGACATGAATGTGAAAAATGAAATTTTTGCGGTCAAATTGGAAGCAACTTCAACTGTAATGTTTTAGGAATGTTTTCATGCATTGACGTCGTCGTAACTTTCAGTTCTTCAACCATGGCTTCTCTAGCCACTTGGTTCCTTCCTACTTTATTCTTGGTATGAAAAAAGTTGCTATTCTTCAAAATAGTCGCTGATGACAAATCGATCGTTTTGAGGTGTTCGCCTCTTGGTTGCATTTCTGGATCCATGGCAGCTGGTCGGTTCCACGTACCATCTCAGCCGCCCTTCCGTTTTTCATCTTTGCCGTCATATTTGTGAGTGTTTGTATATCATCGTTTATCTCCCAGCAAGTTGAGGGGCAGAGCTTTCCATTGAGCCATGACGGCCAGAATCTGAAAAATCTGAAATCTGAAAATCTGAAAAGGCCTTCACAATCTGAAAAGGCTTTCATAGAGTAGGATCGATCGAGGGGTGCGAAAGGGAGTAGTACGTTCTTTAAACTTTGATAAATGGATGAAAAGGGTAGCAAGTTGTATAGAAAACAGGATTACAACGGCCCGCAAGTAGCGTATTGTAAATGGGCACTATGGGCTCATATGAACGCCCACATGTCGTAATTGATGATTCCCATTCGTTACTTTTTTCGAATTCTGATTCGAATGGGTACAAATGTTTCTCTGGACCGAATTTCACCCACGTTCCGAGACATTCGCTTTGACACTTGTCGCCAACAAAAAGCTGAGCTTTCTTGAAGGCTGATAGCACTATCAAAAATCAGTCGCAGACACCCTTTCCTGCAGGCGTTTCCCGGAAAAAAGTTGCGATGTCCGTGACAGGGCCACCCTTACGCGTAGCAAATCGTGCCACGCCCATGCACGAGCAATTTCCAAGAGCATTTCAGAGCTTATTGTAGAAACACTAACTGTACGAGGAAAGACAGAGCAAATTCGTGACATTAAGTATCAGTACTGTTGGCTGTTGTGATTTGTTAGTGGCAGCAAAACACGCACAAAGGGACTCCATACAATTGAAGATCTGAAATTCCTCTTTTTCTGTATGTAAGAGCAGGACTCACTCAGTGAAGCCACCTGGAGGGGGAGCCTGGCATTTAGGGGCACGAGGGTGAAAGGCTGGTCATCTTCCCGATCTTTTCCTGTCACCGCTCTCTAAAGGCATCATTGCAACCTTGTACTGAATTCATCAAAATTAAATCTTTCCGGTCAAAGAAAAGACGATTTCAGGTGTTCCGTCGTGATATCGTCACTGCAACTTCCGGTGTTTGCTGCTGGTTCTCATTCTGTCTGATTCTCACCTTCTTATCGCTCGTAAGTAGTATTACCTACTGAGCTTTCTTTGATAAAGCTACTGTAACGACTTTTGACTTATGTGAGGGTAAATTTGAGGGATATACAGGGTGGGCCAAAATTATGATTACAGCGCGCGCTGACGTTCATTGCAAATTTTTTCTATGTTCATAACAATTCATTGAATTTCTTCCATTTCACAAAGTAGCTTACGTTATTACCTTCCTGATGATACTAAACTTTGGGTAGGTTTTTAACATAATATAAGTGTAGCTAGTCCGTGAATTAAGCGTCGCTTTGCATTTACAAACACTTTTGGCACGGTGCATCTACAGACGAATTAGCGAAACAAGGCA